ATTTCTCAAGAGATGGTTGTTAAGGGGACAAGGTGGAGCGTAAAGCTGCACAAAGCTCCTTGTGTTTGATGTTTCATTTTCGAGTCGCATGTTCACGTCAGAGACCGGACTTGCTGCGAAGACGAAGACAATCCTCTGAAGAAGGGCGTGGGAAAGGACATCGCAGAGTCGATTGATGATGCAGCTCAAGGGACCACACACAATAGATAATGCAGGCCGAATCTCGGCTCACGCACAGCAGGGAGACACATACATTGACGATCCCTCCGGGCGCAATTGTTCCCAGAAGAAGGGAGGTGGTGGAGGAAGAAGATAGAAAGGGAATAAGAATAATAAGAGAATAAGAAGAACAGAAGAAGTGATGAGGGGGAAGAGGAAGAAAATATGGCGATGCTCATAAAGAATCTCTCCCTCTGAACAATATCTTCTTCTTCTCAATCATCTCCAACATGTTTGTCGAGTGCTGTCTAGAGCAGAAAAGATCTCGTGAGTATCAAGCCATAAACTTCTCTCTGTCGAAGAAGTGAGAAGGAAAAGAAGAGGAGGAGAAGGAGGAGGAGGAGGAGGAGAAGGAGGAGGAGGAGGAGGAGAAGGAGAGCTCAAGTCTCACAATGTCCCCCAGCATCCCTCTCTCTCTCTCTCTCTCTCTCTCTCTCTCTCTCTCTCTCTCTCTCTCTCTCTCTCTCTCTCTCTCTCTCTCTCTCTTTCTCTGCGGAGGAGAGTACTACCGTCTTCCCCGGGGACATGACACATATGCGTTGTATTCGAGTATTTTTTTAAAATCGTTTTTTTGAAAAGTTGGTCCTCTCCGTTCGAGCAGAAAAGCTCTCGTGAGTATCAAGCCATAAAATTCTCTCTGTCGAAGAAATGAGAAGGAAAAGAAGAGGAGGAGGAGGAGGAGGAGGAGAAGGAGAGCTCAAGTCTCACAATGTCCCCCAGCATCCCTCTCTCTCTCTCTCTTTCTCTGCGGAGGAGAGTACTACCATCTTCCCCGGGGACATGACACATCTGCGTTGTATTCGAGTTTAAAAAAAAAATCGTTTTTTTGAAAAGTTGGTCCTCTCCGTTTGAATAAAATGGCACTTCGAATAGAGTGCATATGTCTTTTATTCGGACTTCTGACCTACAAAATTGCTCTGTTCGAATTGAACATTGCTTCTTTTCTTTTTTTTAACAATTCGTTGATGTTGTCTATCACAGAGGAGCTCGCCCGCCAGAGGGTCCAATCTGTATGCGTGCAATGTTTCACAGCCGTCTGCTCCCTCACACAAGGTGCCCTCACCAATATTCTATACATCTTATATTTCCGTCTAGATTACAATCTCAATGAGCATGAATTGTGTGCGAGGGTGCTCTTGATCGTCGCACAGCAGCAAAAACAATAAACAAAGAATGGAAAACAGAACGCTTACATGTACCTCGCGCCCTCCCCCTCCCCCCCCCCCCCTTCCCGCTCTCTCTTGCAGTCGACAAGAAAGAGGCAGTGTAGCATAAGACGAATGTCATCCCACATTGCTCTTCTCTAGACAAGATGGAGGCCATGTAGTGCAACATTGAGGCAGTGTTGCTCCAGTGTAAGCTGCTGCTCGACCGAGTTCCACAGGACAATTATGTCCTGACCCCACCACTCGACATTCGACATGTACGTGGACCGATCCCTTCAGACGGATCCAACATTTTAAACGTAGCAGGTTCATTGTCGCCTCCCGATACACTTCGAATGTTCTGCAGTGGAGCGAGGCCCATACTAAATGTATACAAGCAATCTTTCCGGTTTGGTGTAACCACAATGAGGCTACTGTAAGTGCCAACTACTGGTAGGTCCCGACCGGATGGTACAGACCCCGTGGCCGGCCAAGTGTGTCCATCTGAGTCTGGCTTGGCTCCCCAAGTAGAGGTGGGAGTGCCTACCTCCCACCCGTTCCTCATTCTGGACCATAGAGACTATCGTGATCTACGGTCGAGGATGGAGGCCGACTGTATGCCGACTCCCTGTTCTGGGTCGCGAGTGCAGGTCCAGACCATGCACTGACTCAGGGTGTGTTCCGGACCAGGTTCAAAGCTTTCAGAAGCGGACAACAATCCTGTGTGCCAAGGGTCCGTGGGAATGGGGGCACAGTACCAAAATAGCTTCAGTCCTAACCTGGGCATATGGTTTTCGAGGGCATACCGTGACGGTGCAGGTCCAGACCGTCCACTGATTCAGGGGTGTGTTGCAAACCAGGTTTGAAGCTTTCAGAAGTGGACAACAATCCTGTGTGCCAAGGGTCGGTGGAATGGGGCCATAGTACCAAAATAGCTCCAGTCCTAACCTGGGCAAATGGTTTTCGAGGGCCTACTGTGACCATCCACCGAACCGACACTCCAGACAGGCACTCGGATGCATCGGCACAGCATGAGAAAAAGGTGTGCTTGGCCAGATACCGACGCCAGGCGCTTGGCCACTGCAAAATGACAAAATAAGTTTAAATAACACAACTTGAGAAAAAGGTCTGCCTGTATGGATACGGGCAACCCCCCCCCCCCCTCTCCCGCCCCCCAAGAAAAAAAGACAAGGTCTCTGCAGAATGATACAGAGTGCATGGCCGCATGGAATGCGGTGTCTGCTGCAGCTCCAATTGCAGGCTGAAGTTATTCCGCAGCTGAACTCGATCTGCCTTTGATGTAACTGTCGAAGGCCGATAGTCCAGTGATCTTGAGGGGCTTTGAGCCCTATACCTGCTGTACCTGGCTGTTGTTGCTGCTGCACTTGCTGCTATAGACAACTGACATTGAACCACCAGTACTTCCTAGAGTCGTGCCCGTTAACGTGCCACGATTTTTAGGAAACGTATGGGTGACTACAGGAGCGCCCAAATTCATCCGACTAGAAACGTTTCTACTCTATTTTTTTCCGTGGCCGATAGCTGGGCCAAGTACTGGTGGTTTAAAGTGTGGAGTTTAGTATGCCAAAGTTGAGCAGTTCTCAGCCCTGCACCGAGGTTAGTAAAGGTGGGGCTGAACAGTCCTCGCCCCCCCTACGGGGTCCCAAAAAAGTGGAGAGTAAGTTCGCAGCGACTGTAGGTGACAAATACCTGACAGAGGGGATGGGACGGCAGCCACTTGGGTCTGCAGGCTGTCTGTTGTGCCTGCAGGAAGTTTCAGTTTACCCTCTTGGTGGTCCAGTAGGTGATTAAGTCCATGAATCTCTGTGTGCTGCAAACTCTTGCGCTGGCCCAGCAGGTGGTTAAAGCCCCAGTCCCACCGAGCCTATTGGTACAAACCGGGGGGGAAAAAAAGCCCCCCCAGGCCTGGCCAGCATGAAACATTACTCCTACTTGGGTAACAGCTACTCTGATGGGAAGACACATTTGGTTTGGTGCGAATACTTTGTCGCGCCCTAAACCATTTGTGTTTATTTTCTATATACAGTCCACCGAGTTCCCCATGGCATTGCCATGGTTCCACCATTATGAGCCAGTTTTTCTATAAGTGCGCACTCGCCTATGGGGCAAAAGGCATGAAGCGTGAAATACGCTGAAGAATATATCAATACGCGGACGATTGGTTCTTACTTGTAGTTAAGGAGTAAATCAACCAAGGGTAGTGTTGCTGAAATGCGCGTGGAAAAGCGCTTGGGTCAAATCGAGCAAGAGGAGGCTCGCACCTCCGAGGCCTGCCCGGGAGATAACAGTTGGAACAAATGCAGATAACGTACATGATTATGTAGGTGGACGAACGACGTGATCTCGAAGTCAGCAAGTTATGGCTTGGACTCGGCGAAATGGTTCTGGTGGTGCCGCATTCAAATTTTCCTCTGATAATCGTGTCCTGAAGCCTCAAAAGCTCTCCAAGCGAGGCGTATACCGTTTTTCGAGCACGGTGTATAAATAATATATTATGTAGTACATACAAATAGAGGTATATCTATCGTATGTATATCTCTAAGTCATTGGTCTTTGATATTCGTTTTGTTTATTAATTAGTAGTAGCATTACGTGAAACCTCCGAGGATCCTACCGACAAATTAAAATGTGTTTCGGTGTCCTGTGGATTGCCCTCTAATTTAATTACGATCTTTAACTTTTTTTTCTCTGATGGGGTGTGATCTGATCAACATCCCTGATTTTTTTTTGTTTTTGAATTTTCCGTTGCCGGAAATCGGAGTTAAAACTCGCAGAAGTTGGGGTGCGCGATGGAGATGTGCAATAGTGGGGAAATCTGGCCGGCAAGAAAACTCATGCCTGCCTATTCCGTATGGTATACTATTCCGCTGCCGCTACGACCAATCCAGTCGCTGAACTGGGCCACAATGTTTTGCTCCTGCGTCAGGAGAGCCTCGCTAGGACCACCGCATCTCAGCCTCTGGCCTTTGATGCTTATTGATGGTTAGACCCTTCTCTCACCCAATGCTGGGTGCTTCCCCAGGAACCGTATCTACACCCTTCTGTCGCATGTGGAGTCGCAGATTCTATGTTTCTCGATTTATGCATGTCATTGTTGTTCGGGGGCCGTGCGAACCTTCTTGATATGATTCCAATTTTAACAAGACCTCACAGATCCGATGTGCTGGGCATCCGAGGGGGTCAATTCTATGGGGAAGGGCATGGGAAAGAGCTCAGTGGAAGACTCGATCAAATGTATAGATTACCGGATACATGCGCCGCACACGCAACAGCCAATGTGGACTGACACTCAGTTCACACGCGAGCAGATGTGCCCAGAAGAAGCCTCTGTGCTCAATCGTGCACTGGCGAAGGGAGGCAAAAGAGGAATAAAAAGAAGTGACAAGTGAGATGAAAGGCCTTCCACGATTCAGACCCCAAATTCGGACTTCAGGGTCAGATGCCCAGGTCAAGGAAAGGCCGAGTTCGTCAAACTCAGAAAAGTCACAATCGGGTACCTCAGTCCAACAGGCACCCAGCAAACAGTCACGTCTCAGGGATAAGGGTCATGTCTCATAATAGAAACCATTCAGAAGAGTCACATCCCACGAGTGAAAAGGCAGATTCACCAAGCAAGAGTCATGTCTCAAAGGTAGGAGTCACGTTTCCTAATGAAAAGTCATATGGAAGAGACGCATCCCATGAGTAAAAGGTAGAATCACAGGCAAAGGTCGTGACCCACAGGCAGGAGTCGCTGTTCACAGTCAAAAGTCGTGTTCACAAGTGAAAAGTCATGACTCAAAGGCCCAAGCAGCAGCAGTCCAATGGAAATTCGGGAAGGTTCCAGGCCTTGACATTAAGTAGCAGACAGGCCGTGGGGATGTGGTACCGGAACCAGTCAGGACCCAAGAAACAGAGGATGGCACGAGTTGAAGTGCAAACCAAGACTACGAAAGGACTGGCCAGCCTCACATTCAGGCAGATTGCTCATTCGCAAAGAGTGTGGAAGTGCTGGCGCACTTGTGCGCTGAAGTGAGGAGCAGAGCGCTGAGGCCAGAGTGCTGCGCTAAGTGAGGGAGAGAGAGGAAGATAGCGCTGTCAGGGAGAAGGCAGCCATAGCTGCGCCAGTGCAGAAGTGTTAGTGGTAGTTGTTAGTAGTAGACTCCAGAGGGGTTAGTAGAGTTGACAGTGGGTGTATTCAGAGTAGATCCATGAAGTAGTAGATAGCGAGTGTGAATGCATGTAGGGAGAGAAGACACAGTGAGGTCATAGCTAGGGAGAAGACCAACAAGGTGGAGAGATACATAAGAGGGAAGAGCAGAGGGTAAGAGATACTCACCTGAGAGATTATGCTGATTATTGGTTACCTATTGGCACGCGGTGATGAGCGCTGGTGACTTGAACTCTTATTGCTCTTGTAATACTTTCTGGAAATGATAAGCTGCGCTACCCGGTCTTCATCTCTCTGGTCTCCAGTGTGAGTTTCATGTGAACTCGTACATGCATGTGGTGTGAATATGTGCACTCACTGGTGTTGAACCAGGAGGTTCATTGCAGAGAAAAAGAAGAAGTGGAATTCTAGGCAATGGAGATAAATAGACTGACACTCACCTCATACGCCAGCAGGGAGGAGACATGCCCAGAAGAAGCCTCCCTGCTCAATCGTGCACTGGCAAAGGGAGGCACAAGCGGAAGAAAAAGAAGTAATGAGGGGGCAGAAGAAGAAGTGGAGCTCTCGCCGATATCCCTTGGAAGGAGAAGAGGTGATGAGGAGGGAGAAGAAGTGGAACTGTCGCCAACGACAATGAATAGTCTCTTCTCGCCGATATCCCTTGGAAGGAGAAGAGGTGACGAGGAGGGAGAAGAAGTGGAACTGTCGCTAACGACAATGAATAGTCTCTCCCCCTGGGAACCATCTCCTCTCCTCAACTCGGAAATCCTTATCTGAACCTGTTTCGTGTTCTTTACTTGCTTTACGGTCAGCCATTCTGGACCTAACTCTCAGCACTTGTGTGCGCGTACTCTCCCGTCTCTCCTTGCTCCAAAAGTCTCCTATGCTGCCAGCCCGTCCCTCCCTCTTCTCGAATTGAATGATTTTGGGTCCACTGCAGCACAATCTGGCAGACACTGGACAGTGGACACTGCACTGCATAAGGGCGTTCTTATGGATGTATGGAGAACTGTTCGAAACAACCATGGACAAAGAACCAAGCTGCAAAACAACTAGGGACAAAGAACCAAGCTGCAGAAATTACAGAGCTATTTGCAATACATTACGTCCTGCTGAGACCATTGCGTCTAAGCCCGCTGTTGACCCGGGCTGCTGCATGACTGGAGGTCCTTGTGGACCTGTTCGACTGGGGTGATGGATCTGCTAATATGAAAAACTTCCATGGAGAAACAAGCAAGTTGCAGAAAAAACAGACTGTTTGCACTTATGTTACAATGTTACATCCTCCTGAGATCAGTGGCTCTGAGCCCGCTGTTGACTCAGCCTGCGCGTTGCTGGAGGGCCTTGCAGAATCAGTTCCGCAGACCTGTAGGCCCAGATGATGGATCTGCACAGAATGTTGTGTTGCATGCAGTGGTGTAGGATTTCCCCTACTGTCCCCATTGTGATGCTATTAGGAGAATACCATCAGGATGCAGCCATCAGGAAACTGTTAAGTAAACTGCAAGAAGAGGGATTTCCGAAAGAAGATGAATGAAACGTGAAATCGAGATTGGGGTTGACGCCCAGAGTAGAGGGAAAAGTGGCATGGCAGTGAGTTCCTGGCCAGAGATGATAGATTGTGTAGTGCAATGTGGGCCAGGTGCATTTGTCTGCACAGCTCATGGTGGATGTGGCCGCATGCTGCTATGACAATCTCCACGAATGGCGTACTGATATTGCGATGTAAGGGATTGCCATGGTGGAACCCTGGCATCGTGTAGTGTTGTTGTTGTTTTTTTTTCTTTTTGTGTGTGTGTTTGTAGACCATTCGTTGATTTATGCATGTCATCCTTGTGTGCGGGGCCATGCCAATCTTCAGTGTAGCATTCCAATTTTAACGGATGTCCGTAAGGACAGGCATTCTATAGTTCTAATTCATGTGGTCATCTCATTTTGTTCGCCTTCTTTCGAAAATCCCTGTTCTTGCAGTGTGCTTAACCGTCTCCAGATGGGTGCATGAAAGACTAGTCTAGCACTTCCTATTTTATACCTTCCTTCTTCGGCACGGGGCCTTGAGATGGTTGAATTGCCGCACTTTGTATCTGGCACGTCTTGCTGCAGTGTGTGCCTCTAGCCTAATACCGGGTCGCTAGAGAGAGGAAGCGGTCTGATGATGATGGTAATGTGAGATGCTGATTCGGCAAGGTGCTGGCATGGATGTTGTGGCAGATTATCAGAATTGTCTGGGGTAATTACTAATAACTAGTAATAAGTAATTACTGACATGAGAAAAAGAAGAAAAAAAGGAACTTGAAAAGTAATCATTGACATGAACTATTGCTGATGTGAGATGCGTTGTTGTTTGTGTCCAGGACTTGGTAGACGTTGAAATTTTCCTTGATGCTCGGCGGGTGATTGAGGCTCTACAACGACGGGACTGTTCTGAGGCACTTGCATGGTGCGCAGAAAACAAGTCGAAGTTGAAAAAAACAAAGGTTAGTACACGATAGAAAGGGGAAAAAAAAAAAAAAAACGGAAGATTCTAGATTGGATTTTACATGCGAAAGGTGGATATATCAGATAAAGTGACTGAGTTTCCAAAGTTGGTGACCTTAGAATGTTGCCCTCCCCGTGCGCTGCACCGGAGCAACGTGAGATACATGGATTGGAGGAGAGCTTCGAGAACATCTCCGTCTGGAAAGAAGTCGTCGGCTCAGCTTCCCTCCCCCACCCCCCAAAAAAAATATTTTATGACATTCATGCAAGGCCATAACCAACCCGCACTTTGCAGACCTCTCTTTTATCCTCTGTCTTTCTTACACTGTTTGGCCATCTCTCTCTCTCTCTCTGTGTTTCTCTGCCTGCGTGTCTCACTCTCTCACTCTCTCTTCCCCTCTCTTTCCGTCTGTCTGTCTGTCTGTCTGTTACATCTTGGAGTCACACGGGTCCTACCGGACCCGACTTAGGGCCGGAGGGACACACCAGGGCCTAAAGGCCGACCTTTGAGGGTCACAGGCCCTAAAGGCCTGATTTTGCACTCAGCCCAGCGGGTAGGCCCAAACGACACTTTG